GTCCAGGCGACGCAGCGCATGGCATCCCTGGCGCCGCGGAGGGCCAGCCGGCCCGTGCGCGAGGACGCCGCAGACACCGCCACCTCCATGGACCCCAACTTGGCGAAGATGTCGGCCCAGGAATTGCCGACGCAATTGGCCAGAGAGCCCGACTCTAGCACCACGTCTTCCATGGCCTGGTTGGCGCGGGCCCACTCCGCGGTCGGCCTGGGGGCCTCGCCACATATGGCCGCGCGCAGGCGGCGCCACACCCCAGCATGAGCGGCCCTCGGCTTGCTGTGGGCTTTGTCCCAGCCACCCACCTCTTCGACGAAGGCCAGGTGGTCGGATACGATGTGGGTTGGCTTGGCCCCGATCTGCACGGCGCCAAGGCCTGCGTGCCTCTCGGCTCGCGGCACCGTCTGGAACCTGCCAGGAAGGACACCGTACAGAGGGCCTGCGTGGGCAGGAGGCGTGGAAGTCTGATCTGGGTGAGCGCCCGGCCGCAGCGGCGCAGCTTCGGCAAGCCCGAGTTCTGACCCGAGCTGTCCACAAAGAGTACGTTCCCCCACGGCAGCGCGCCCAAGCCCCAGGTGTGTTCTGCCACCACGTCCCCCACTTGGGCGGGGAGGGGTGGCAGGCTGGGCAGCCCGTACGAAACGTGCTCGCAGCAAGGCCCTCCGTCCCCCTGCACCCCCTGCTCCATGAGCTTCTCCTTGACCTTGGTCAGGTCAGGCGGGAAGGGGTCGTGCTCCTCGTCTTGCTGGGCTTCCGCCCCCCCGCAGCACTGGAGGCACAAATGACTGCGACCGCCTTCCTTGCCTCGCGCCGCAGAGCCAGCACTCCGCACTGTCCAACCTGCCTGCGGCGTGGGCCCGCGCCGGTGGGCACAGGGCACGGGCCTGCAGTGTCCGCAACGCTCCTGCCCGCTGCGGGCAGCGCACGTCGGCATTCCCCAGGCGCGGCGCGCGGCGCCAGAGCGGGAAACCTGCTGAAGGCGGGAGGGTCGTGCGCCAACATCTTGCGATGCTGCCACCTTTGGGTGCCTTCTGCCACCAGCTGCTTGGCATCGGGGGGGCAGCGCTGTCATTGAGACAATCTCACCGCCATCGCTGCGCACGTGGCACGGGTCGACGAAAGCCAGTCGATCCTGGCGAGCGACAGCCACAGCGCCGACAAGGGGCCCTTGGCGTGGGCCCAGGATGCCGTCTTAGCATTCCGCATCTTGGCCGCCATCACGTTCCACGCTCGTCGCAACCTGCTGGCACAGTCGCGGCCGAGCCACAGCCAGCTGGTGCAGCTGTTCAGAAGGCTGAAGGCGAAATCGAAAACGGGCTCGAGCTGGTCGTCCCTGGCCGTGGCGAGGCAGGCCGCGAAAGAGTTGTGGCCCCTGCAGTCCGTGAACACACCCGTCAGCGACCTCAGCGCCTGGAGGCCTGTCTCGTGCATTCCCACCACAGCGCCTCCGTGCGCAGCAGCAGGGGGGACTCCAGTGCGCCAGAGCCTGCAGGCAGCACGGCTGCCTGCAGCTTTCCGCACCGCCTTGATCCTGCCGGCCTTGGCGGCCGTGCTCTCAGGGCGCCGCTGCTGGACAAGGCCTACGGCTGCCCTTCCCGCTGAGCTCGTGACCCAGGTTGCGCATGCGGGCGCGGTGCTTGTGCTTCAGCAGCTTGGCCCAGCGCTCGAGCTTCGCGTTTGGCAGCAGGCGAGGAGGCAAAGTAATCCTCTTTGGCTGGCTGCGGGAGCAGCTCGAACGGCTTCGCGGCCAGAGCTGCTGGACGGCACCGAAGTCGTCGGAAACCTACTGCAGGGGGACGGCGTCGATGAGACCGCGCGGCGTCACCGAGGGCGCCTTCGAGATGTACGCAGAGAGGGGCTGCCAATGACGAGCAGGCCATGATCGCCCGCAGGAGGAGGAGGAGGAGGAGGAGGAGGAGGAGGAGGAGGAGGAGGAGGAGGAGGAGTAGCAGGAGGAGGACAAGAAGGACGAGGAGGAGGAGGAGGAGGAGAACGACAACGAGGACGAGGAGGAGGAGGAGGAGGAGGACAAGCAGGAGGAGGAGGGCGGAGGAGGAGGAGGAGGAGGAGGAGGAGGAGGAGGAGGAGGAGGAGAAACAAAAATTAGCATAAACATGAAGGAGGCGGATGCTCAGGGAAACGGGTCCTGGACCCTTGGGTGCTTCCCCGAGGCCAGCGTTTCGTCCTCAGTCGTTTTCTGCAGCGCCTGGGGCATGGGGAAGGCCCAGGGAAGCCGGAAACGGCCAAAAACCTCCCAGGCCCACTTCCCGCAGGAGCCATTTTCTGCAGGAGGAGGAGGAGGAGGATCAGGAGACGACGACGACGACGACGACGAGGACGAGCGCCCCAGGGGACCATACGTCGCCCACGCCACTTGGCACTGCGGGAACGGGCACTGCACGCTGCGAAAGCACTTGGGCACCTGCCGCTGGGGTCGGGCGCGCGCGGCGCGGCCGCGCGCGGCAGCGGCAGAAGGGGCGGGGCTTTACGAGAAACATCGTCCAGCCTGAGTTCACGCCGCAAGGCCATCTGGGCAGTTCTGGTGGGCAGCCTGTGCCCCGTGGGTCTCAGGCTTCCGACGTGATCACAAGCGACGCCACGCTGGCCCAGAGACACTGCCCATGCCAGGGCGCGCTCCTGCCAGGAGCAGGAGGGGGGGGGGGCAAGGAAGAGGGGGGAAGAGGGAAGAGGGAAGATGGAGGGGAATAAGGAAGAAGGAGTTGCTGTTCCTACCCCTCCCGCGCGCCACCAGAGTACGAGAACGGCGCCCCTGCACACCGTACCATGTTTCGACTCCCTTTGGTCCCGCCCAAACACGGTACAGTGCATAATTTGTTGGGCTCCGAAGGCCGAACAACTATGCACCGTACCATCCCTGGGTCGATCGACGGCGCCTCTGCAGATGCCAACGCGGTGCGGTGCACTCAGGTGAGAGTAGTTCTGAAACGTACGAACGGTACCAGACTAAAGTACCAGACGAATGTACCGGACTAACAGACTAGACTAACCAGACTAAAGTACCAGACTAACGTACCAGACTAAAGTACCTTAGTCTGGTGCTTTCGTCTGATCAGTCTGGTACATTAGTCTGGTACATTCGTCTGATTAGGCTGGCACATTAGTCTGGAGCATTAGTCCGATTAGTCTGGTACTTTAGTCTGGTACTTTAGTCTGGTACCGCTAGTCTGGTACTTTAATGTGGTACCGCTAATCTGGTACTTTAATATTGTACTTTAGTCTGGTACCGCTAGTCTGGTACTTTAGTGTGGTACTTTAGTCCGCTACATTAGTCTGGTACATGAGTCTGATTCGTCCGGTGCATTCGTCTGGTACATTCGTCTGATTCGCCTGGTACATTCGTCTGGTAAAGTAACATGGTACTTTAGTCTGGTACTTACTTGAGGCTAATCAATACGTACTTTAGTCTGGTACTTTAGTATGTATGGAACTTTAGTATGGTACTTTAGTCTGGTACCGCTAGTATGGTACCACTAGCCTGTTACCGGTAGTCTGGTACCGCTAGTCTGGTACTTTAGTCTGGCACTTTAGTATGGAACTTTAGTATGGTACTTTAGTCTGGTACCGCTAGTCTGGTACCGCTAGTCTGGTACCGCTGGCCTGGTACTGCTAGTCTGGTACCTTAGTCTGGTACTTTAGTCTGGCACCGCCAATCTGGCACTTTAGTCTGGCGCTACTGTCTGGTACTTTAGTATGGTACTTTATACTGGTACTTCAATATGGTATTTTAGTCTGGTACCGCTAGTCTGGTACTTTAGTCTGATACAACTAATATGGTACCGCTAGTTTGGTACCGCTAATGTGGTACCGCTAGTCTGCTACTGCTACTTTGGTACTGCTAGTCTGGTACATTATACTGGTACTTCAATCTGGTAGTTCAGTCTGGTACCGCTAGTCTGGTACTTTAGTCTGATACAACTAGTCTGGTACTGCTAGTCTGGTACCGCAAATCTGCTACCGCTGGTCTGCGACTGCTAGTCTGGTACTTTAGTCTGGTAATTTACTTTATACTGGCACTGCAATATGGTATTTTAGTCTGGTACCGCTAGTCTGGTACATTAGTCTGATACAACTAGTCTGGTACTGCTAGTCTGGTACCACTAGTCGGGTACCGCTAGTCTGGTATTGCTAGTCTGGTACTGCTTGTCTGGTACTTTAGTCTGGTACTGTAGTCTGGTACTTTAGTCTGATACTGCGAAACTGGTACTTTAGCCTGGTACTGCTAGTCTGGCGTCGTGAATCTGGTACCGCTAGTCTGGTACTGCTCGTCTGGTACTGCTTGTCTGGTACCTTAGCCTGATACCGCTAGTCGGGTACTATAATTTGGAACTTCGATCTGGTACCGCTAATCTGGTAATCTGGCACTTCAATCTGGCACTTTAGTATGGTACTTTAGTCAGTTACCGCTAGTCTGGTACCGCTAGTCTGGTACTGCTAGCCTGGTACCGCTTGTCTGGTACTTTAGTCTGGTACTTTAAACTGGTACGTCAGTCTGGTACTTTACACTGGCACTTTAGTCTGGCACTGCCACTGTGGTACTTTAGTCTGGTACCGCCAGCCTGGTACCCCTAGTCTGGTACTCTAGACTGGCACTTTAGTCTGGCGCCGCTAGTCTGGTACTTTAGTCCAGTCCTTCAGTCTGGTATTTTAGTCTGGTACTTCAATCTGGTCCGATAGTCTGGTACCACTAGTCTGGTACCGCTAGTCTGGTACTTCAATCTGGTACTTCAAACTGGTACTTTAGTCTGGTACTTTAAGCTTGTACTTAAGTCTGGTACTTTAATCCAATACCGCTATTATTGTACCGCTAGTCTGGTACTTTAGTCTGGTACTTCAGTCTGGTATTTTAGTCTGGTACCGCTAGTCTGGTACTGCTAGTCTGGTGCCGCTGGTTTGGTACCGCTAGCCTGGTACCGCTAGTCTGGTACCGCTAGTCTGGTACTGCTTGTATGGTGCTGTAGTGTTGTACTTTAGTCTGGTACTTTTGTCTGGTACTACGCTTACGGCCAAGAACCCGCCGCTTACGGTTGAGACCTCCTTTCCACTCAGGTCGTCCGCGGACAGAGGCCGACACGCCTCGCTCAGTAGCGGCAAGGCGCGCTGCCAGGCTAGCACACGGCGGCGGCAACACAAGCACGGGCACACCAGTACGAGCACAGCGCCGGGAGAAGGGAAGAGGCAGCTGAAGAGGCGGAGGGCGAGGACGAGGGATGGGAGGGGGTCGACATGGGGTGGATCTGGCTCAGGGGAGGAGGTGATGTCCTGGAATCGGCGGTACAGTGCCCAGATCAGCGACAGGCCCCAGATTGGCGATGAATCGGGAATTGGGTGTCGATGCTCTCTCTCTCTCTCTCTCCCCTTGGAGCCAGGCCCCTCCCGCCGTTACCCCCAAGGATCGAACGAGCGGCGCCAGTGCCGGGCACCTGGGTGTGCCCGTCACGGCGCGTGAGGGCGCTGACTCCTGTCGTGGGCCAGCTGAAGGCGTGGACGGAGTAGTGCACAATCTGGTGGTGGGTTTCGCCGCCTCGCCCTGGGCACTCTGGTTGGGTCGTTTCCCGAGTAGCGAAGGCATCGTCGGACGCGAATGCCAGCTTTACGTCTACTCATCATGCTCGAGGAGGCTGCGTTCATGAGCTTGTCGATGCGAGCCGCTGCTTTTCTTTCGAACACCACCAGCCCTCTGGGCGTACATCTGTAATTAGTTCAGAGCGGTTCCTCCTCCAACCTCCTGTCTCCCCATATGGGGAGTGTACCATCACTGCTCATAGATAAATGTCCCCTCGCCCACTTGACCGGCCATCAACCAGGAACCATGAGCGCCCGCCCCCCCGACCCCGACCATCCCTGACAAAAACCTACACAGCGTGCACGTAGAGGCAAACTCTGGATCGTGAGCGGGGCCCCGCGAGCAGCTTGCACCGGCTTTGACCAGGAAGGCCGGGGGCGCGCCTATTTGTCCGCCGCGCGCTGCCCCACTGCCCCTGGCAGATGCCCATGCGGCGCACCTGGCGCATGTGGCGCACCAGGCGAGACCGGCACGCTTCGGTCCATCGGGCGCCTCGAGCACCTGCCGCCTCTGGTGCTCGCAGCAGGCCTGGCACGCGTGGCGCACCCTGCGAGCGTCGCACACCTGGCGTCACCGTTGGTTCCGAATCGATGTCCATCCGATGGCGGCCTTTGCCTAGGCTGAGTCCCGGGTGCTACTCATGTGGCGGGAGGGAGGGTAGGAGCTGGCGAGACAGCTTGTGGCGTTCCCGTTGGGAACTTGATTCCTCCTCTATCCTGTCCCCTGGATCTGGGCTGGGGCGGGGGAGAAGGCGACGAGTCAGAGCGTTCAAAATGGCCCGAGGTGTCTCCATGAGTGCCGCGGATAGCCCTAGATGACCCCCAAGATGGCACAAGAGTGCGCGAGATGGCTTCAGATAGCTATGACTCCAAGAACTTCCAGGAAGACCACCCCAGGACGGCACAGTGTGGCCACGGAGCCCCTCAAGCAGACCCCGAAGAAGCCCAAGCCCTTCAAAAGACCCAAATGATTCTATGTGTGTGCGTGCGTGTGTGTGTATGTGTGTGTGTGTGTGTCTGTGTGTGTGGTGTGCGGTGTGTGTGTGTGTGTGTGTGTGTGTGGTGTGTGTGGTGTGTCACTCGTACACAATGGGTCTGTTCATCTTAGCGGGGTCGGAGCACGGCAGCAGCCAGCTCAGAAGTCGTAGAAGAGGAAGCCGTCGAAGACGACAAAGAAGATGTCGAGCCTCCCTGGCCGCATGGGTTCTCGCATGTCCTCGGCTCCTCCGCCGAATCTGCGACCAGGAAGGCTGGTTCAATCAGCTTGCAGCCGTCGATACCTAAGAACTCCACCTGAACCCTCTCTCCGACGAAGCCACGGACGCAGCCCACCAGCCCATTCAGAGCCGACGTAGCGAGGCTGTGCGGGCGCACCAAGTCACCCACCTGGAAATGGTCGCCCTGGCACTCGGGAAGGTACACGGGGCCATCGCCCTTGACCCGGTCACTCCAGGGCACTTGAGGCGCCACATTCCCAAATTTGGTCTCAAGAGCCTGGACCTTCCTCTCCAGTGTGTCTAGAATCTTCGCAGAAGCGGCACTCACAGCAGACAGACATTGGTCGCCCAGAGATCGCTGATGAGTCGTGAAACTGTCGCACAGCTCCTGCTTCAGAGTGTCCAAAGGAGACTGCAGAGATAGGCTGGCAGCGTCCAGAATGTGTGACTTCATTTCCTCGAGCTTGGGCGGCAGCCGACGGCTGAGCGAAGCCTCGACCGCTCTGGCGAGTTCAGCTTGCAGCTGGGTGACCTGCGCCGACACTGCAGCAGTTTTGTCATCCACGTAGGCCTGCAGCACCGAAAAAGAGATATTAGGAAGGGCCACCGTCCTCAGCTGCTCCAGCTCCTGGATCAACAAAGCAATCGTGCTGTTCTGAGCGTCGATCAGCTGTTGCACAGAAGAGTCCCCAGTAATGAGATG